AAAGAAGGTTTGTATAGAAGTAACACCTCTTCTGTCATGAATTAGGTGATTTTAGCCTGATTGTATGTGGGTCTAGAAAAAAAATTAAGAAAATTTTTGATATGTCTTGAATGCATAAATATATGTAGATACTAGTCTATTTTATCATTTGCTACCGTAAATATATAGCGATCTATTATAAAAAGTTAAAGTGTATCAAAACTTAGGCAGGCACGCAAACACTCACAGACCATACATGGTGCCATTCATAGTCTAGTTATTAATCCCTTGTCAGATGGGTAGTTTGCAAATATTTTCTCACATTTTGTGGATTGTCTCTTCACTTTGTTGATTTTTTCCTTTGCTGTGCACAAGCTTTTTAATTTGGTGTGATTCCATGTGTCCAATTTTGCTTTGGTTGCCTGTGCTTTTAAGGTATTACTCAGGAAATATTTGTTCAGATCAATGTCCTGGAGCATTTCCCCAGTGTTTTTAGTAGTTACATAGTTTCAGGTCTTAGATTTAAGTCTTTAATCCATTTTTATTTGATTTTTATATATGGGGAGAAATAAGGGTCTAGTTCCATTCTTCTGCATATCGATATTCAGTTTTCTCAGCACCATTTACTGAAGAGACTGCCCTTTCCCCCACGTATATTCTTGGCAGCTTTGTAAAAAATGAGTTCACTATAGATTTGTGGATATGTTTCTGGGTTCTCTATTCTGTTCCATTGGTCTATGTGTCTGTTTTTATGCAATCTCATGGAGACAGAGAGTAAAATGATTACCAGAGTCTGGGAAGGGTAGTGGGAAGTGGGGGATAAAGTGGGGAGATTTAATGGGTACAAAAATGTAGTTATATAGTTAGATAGAATGAACAATATCTGCTAGCACAACAGAGTGACTGTAGTCAATAATAAGTTATGATATACTTTAGAATAACTAAAAGAGTGGGCTTGGAAAGTTTCTAACACAAAGAAATGATAAATGCTCGAGATGATGGACACCCCAATTGCCCTGATTTGATTATTACACATTGTAAATTGTCTTTCTGTATTAAAACATTACATGTATCTCATAAATATATAACTGTAATGTACCCATAATAATTAGAAATTTTTAAAAAGCCAGGTACGAAAGGGGATCATATTATATAATCTCATTTATATGATAGACCCATTATAGTCAACTCTGTAGAGACAGAAAGTAGACCAGTGGTTGTCAGTGCTGGGAGATCAGGAGTTAGGTAGTGACTGCTTAATGCTTATGAGGTTTCGTTTTTCAGTAATGAAAATGTTCTAGAATTAGATAGTAGTGATAGTTGTACAACATTGAGGATGTACTAAAAACCACTGTATTTGCGCTTTAAAATAGCTAAAATAGTGAATTTCATGTTATACGAATTTTACCTCAAAAAAAGAAAAAGAGAGGGATTATAATGGTCCACAAGTTAAAATAGTTACCTTGACCTGCCTGTGTAATTTTTTATATATACCTCACTTTTTCTCAGTTTTATGCCAAAAGTGTCGGTATTTTCCATTGAGAAGATCTAAATATAATTTTAATTTAGGAAAATTAAAGGGCTTGGTGATCTTGCAATTATGAAGAGATTGAAACTAAATTGTTATTAATCTTGGTATTATCTAGTAGCAAGAGGGAGAAGGGGATACAGACACAAAACTACAAGGAGAGAGATTTTAAAACTGTAAGTGGATAAATTTTAAGTAAGTGGTATAGATAATATTTTATCTAAAATCTCAAATAGCATTACTGAAATATATATTTTAATTTGTTCATATTATTTTAGTCAATTGACTAGATCCTGGCATTAAAAACATCCCTGTATGTCTAGGTTTTGCTTCATCTCACTAAATTAATTATCTTAAATTCCCATGAATTATCATTTGTGTTTTGGCCGCCTTGTGAGTCTGAACACTTTGCTATGAGTGATTTTATTATGGCTCCACTCTTCTTCATGTAACATGTAAGTATTGTTCTCACTGTCAATTTCAAGAAAGGCATATGTAATTTAATTTTATTTTGTTTTCTCCATTTCATTATAGTAGTATGCCCATCAGAATGGCTCAAATATCAAGGGAAGTGTTATTGGTTCTCTGCTGAGATGAAAACTTGGCGTGACAGTTATGTGTACTGTTTGGGAAGAAAATCTCATCTACTGATCATACAGGATCAACCCGAAATGGTATTAAATAATTGGTTTAGGATCATGGTTATGGCATTAGCTTTTATCCAGTTAAAAATGATTTTCCTCAAATATCTTCACATCCTTGAATTAAACCATCGTTTATCTTGATTACTGAATTTTGGGCACCTGATTTAATATTGTGCTAGAAGCAAGTGCCTCACTTCATTCATGCTAGACCTGACCCAAATACTTGTATTTAACTTGCAATTGTGTACGTGTGTGTGCATACTATACATATTATATACTGAGTGTATAATTAAGATATGAATTGGTTAGTATAAGAATCCTCATGTAGAGTGCTGGCTTTTCAATAAAATTCTAAAATCTTAGAATTATTAATATTTTCTGAATTAATATATTCTGTTGATTTAGTTACTCATTATTTACTCTTTAGGCTTTTATACAGAAAAACCTGAAACATTCAAACTATGTGTGGATTGGCCTTAACTTTACCTCCATGAAGAAGACCTGGACTTGGGTGGATGGTTCTCCATTAGATCCAGAGATGTGAGTCTTTACTAAAAGGCAACCTGACTATCTATTGTAGAATATGTCTTCAGAAAGTACCTCCATGTCCAC